GACTGATACCCAGAATATATAGGGAACTCAAGCAGCTTACCTCAAATAAAATAATCAATGTAATCAAAAGGTGGGCAAATGAGCTGAACAGACAACTCTCCAAGGAAGACATATGGATGGGCAAAAAGCATATGGAAACATGCACAACACCTCTTATCATAAAGGAGATGCAAATCTAAACCACAATGAGACCACTTAACCCAAGTCAGAATGGCTAAAATTAGAGACCAGCAGATGGCATACTGGTTATGTTGTTGAACTTACATGTAGTCAACCACGGTTTGAGTCCTGGACCTGGCGGCTTAAAACTCACACCAAGCACATGTGCATGTGTGCCCAAAATCCTGAGAGGAGAATGGACAGTGTGGCCATCCCCACTGGGGATGATTTCTCACTTCCTGTCTCTCTGTCTGGGGGCACAAAAACACATAAACAAAAAAATATGTAAAAAAAAAAAAAAAAAAAAAAAAAAAGACAAAGAATGACTAAGATTTTAAAAATTAAAAATGATAAGTACTGGTGAGGCTACAGTGAAAAAAGAACCCTCCTTCAATGTTGGTGGGAATATAAATTAGTACAACCGCTGTGAAGAACAATATGGAGGTTTCTTAGAAACCTACAAATAGAACTACCGTACAACCCATACAATCCACTCTTATATATCTACCCAAAGGACAGGAAAACACTAAGTCAGAAAAACATCTGTACATCCATATTTATTGCAGCATTATTCACAATTGCTAGGACATATTATCAACCCAAATGTCCAAAAACAGACGAGCGAACTGAAAAAAATGTGGTACACGTATGGGATACTACTCTGCCATAAAAAACAATGAGACCTTGACATATGATATAAAGTGGATAAATATGGAAGATTTAATGCTAAGTGAAGCAAACCAGACTATGAAAGACAGGCATTGTATATCTCCACTTAATATATACTGAATGTCTGCACTCTATAGCAGAAATTGAAAGACTGGAAGGTCTAACAGCAGGGAGACCAACTGTAGTTACTGGAAACAGTAATAAAAGGAAATGGGAGGGAGGAGATCAGGGGGAAAAAAACAATGGAAACATTTAATAGATACAAAATGAAAAGTTATCTGTTGATAAATGTCTATGGTAATAACTTTGACTTGACTAATATGCACCATGTGCATGCTGGGAAAAACCATGTTGTGCACTGTAAAGATGTACAGTGATTAAATGTAATTTTTTAAAAAGAAAATGAATGTATAATGTAATGCAATGTAACATAGTTTGAATTTTAAGAGCTACAGAAGGATTGAGCACTTATTATGAATCTTTAGGTATACCATTCCAGAAAAATCTTAGGCGAACACATATCTATCCTCAAATAACTCCAAAAAATAATCCACCACTGCTTATTATGAAAGGAGAAATCCGCACCGCCATTTCACTTTCATTTGCAAAGTGGGGCCCTGGGGAGTATACTCATATTAAGGTAGATATGAAAGTTAAGTATTTCTTTTCTAAAATATTCATATTTTAAATCACATGCTTCAGGAAAACTTGATAACATGAACCAAAAATGTTTTGTATGTTGCCTTATCCTATTTACACTAGAATTTGGACTTAAATTTTCAGTACCACTTCTTTGTATAAATTTAGATCTGCCTACAAAATGCAAATATTCAAGGCAGGGGTAGGCAGGAACTGGGAAGCAGCTTTGGAAGAATGCCAGAGCTATTTTCCCACATCACAAGAGTCCTTCTTCCCAAACTTTGAAACCTGGGAACGATGGTTGGAAAAGGTCATCTCCAACCCACGTTGAACAGTCTTTTACCCCTCCCCTCAGCTGCCCTCAACTAGAGACATGGCTTTCAGTCACTGCCCAGGGCCAGTAAGGTGAAGTAAAGGGATCCCTCTTAACCCATGGAACTTTTTCCTTTATTCTTGGATGGTTTCAGTTCTCTCAACCCTCAGAAAAACTGCTTAGCCAAAATAGGAAAAAGGTCTGCTACAAAGGAAGTCACCAGTCTTGCTTCTTTGCTCAGTTGTCCAATTTGTCCTCACTTGAAAGCTGTGGTTCTCAACCTTTTTTTCTACTTCTATCATTTCCTGGCACAGAACACTGCCATCATTACCCCCTCCCCATAGGAGAAGATTCTGACCTGCCCCCTCTAGGGGTGCTTCCCCATTCTCTACCCTCTTTCATGGACTTGCAGAAAACTGTTAGAAATGAACTGTATGAAATCAGGATGGATCAATATGTTTTACTGGGAAAAGTTGTGGGGAAGAAGGAAAAGGAAGTTCTGGATTAATGAAAGGGGTGGAAGGAGTCAGACATTTTGGCTTCATACCTTAGACTACACGAAAGCTTACCTTCTGGGTGTCTCAAATTCTTCAGGTATAAAATAGTGACAATATACCTATTTCATAGGTAGTTAAGAGAAATTAATGGAAATGGAAGCAATTTCTAAAGTGTACTGTTAACAACAGATTTTATTCATTTTTAGGTTTTCCTTACTCTCTCTTCAAAGACAAACCACCCAGTTAAACAACCTAACCTTTCTCCAAAGATATGTGCTGCAAAGTTGTTAGCTTCAAGTCTTCAGATCTCACAAGAAGTCAGCTTGATTAAAAAAAAATGTAGGAGGGGCCAGCGGGTGGCATGGTGCTTAAGGTGCTGAATCCCAAATGGTTGACTGTGATTAGAGTCTTGGACTCAGTGACTTGAAACTCATGCTAGGCATATGTACACGCATACCGAAAATCCTGAGAAGAGAATCGAGGAGAAGGGATTGTGGCATGGCCATCTACCCTGGGGAGTGATTTCTCACTTTGTTTGTCACTGTCTCTCTATGGCTTCCCCTGGTGAGTGCATGCGCCCTATGCCAAAAACCTGGGAAAAAAAATGTAGGAGATATATTGAGTCATCAAAAAAGTCATGATGCATTTTTGCATTAAAAAACCATGTTGTGCCTTTTGGCCGGAACCGATCACCCCCCAGGGGGGATGGCCATGCCACAATCTCTTTTCCTCCATTCTCCTCTCGAGATCTTCGGCACGCACACACATGCACCCGGTGTGAGTCCAAGCTACCGGGTCCGGGACTCAGACCACAGTCAACTATGTGGGAGTCCAGCGACATAGCCATTACACTAACTGCTGGTCCCAACATTCAATATTCTTGTTGAAGAGCAACTGATCCTTACTGGATCAGCTCACCTGTCTTTTCGATGTCCAATGGAGCCTTGAAAAATGGTGAATAGCTACAATATCTAAAGCACCAGCCTGCTCCACCCAGAGAAGCACACTTTGTGAGAACCGATGGAAAGGAGCCTGAGCTACTGGAACCTATTCCCTATGAATTCATGGCATGATGGATGTTAAAAATAAACTAATCTGTGGTCTATAAAAAAAAACAAAACAAAACCATGTTGTGACTTTTATAGTGACCCTATATATATGTGTGTGTGTGTGTGTGTGTGTGTGTGTGTGTATAAATTTTTTGTTTGTTTGCTATAGAGTACATGTGCTTGTCAGAGAGAGAGAGAAAGAAAGCAAGAAATCACTTCTCAATAAGGATGGTCACACTGCAATCCCTTCTCCCCACTCTCCCCTCTCAATTTTGGTCATGCATAAACATACTCCCTAAGTGTTTCTAAGCTGCCATGCCTGGGACTCAAACCACACAGTGGGCAGTGTGGAATCTAGCACCTTAACCACCATGCCACCTGTTTGTCTCTGTAGGTACTGTTAAAGTAGTGCTGTAAACTCTGATCTTAATTTAATCTGGATCCCCAGAGAAGAATGAGCCCTAATTCCAATGTTAGTTATTGATGTCCCCAAATTTCTGAAGCTAATTTGATCCTATTTAAGCAGAAAATTGGTAGTCTTTTCTAAAATGTAATATATTTGCATTTTAATCAGTTACTTGCTTTACTAAGAACTTCCCCAAATGTCCCATTGTTTGTCAGAGCCACCAATAACTTCTTTGAAATATTATAATTGCAGTGTGAGTTTGAAGATTAGCAAGGATGACTAGGCACTCTTGAGGTTTTCCTGTGCTTTGACAGCATGTCATACAGGCCTTTGATACACCAGTACACTGTGATCCCCTGGCAGCTTATTTGTCTCTGTATCCTTGTTACCTGACACACAGTAGCCCTCAATAAACATTTGTTGAAACTCCTTAATAGTCTTCTTGAAAAATCTATAATGTTTTTTATTCTGAAGTTTTTAAAAAATTAATTACTCTTGGGTCATCAGGTGGCATGGTGGTGAAGGCACACGACTCCCACATGGCCAAAATTGGTTCAAGCCTCAGACCCAGTAGCTTGAAAGTCACACTGTGTGTGTGTGTGTGTGTGTGTGTGTGTGTGTGTGTGTGTGTGTGCGCGCGCGCATGCGGGTGCACCCAAAATCCCAGGAGGAGAATGGCGGAAAAGGGATTGCTGTGTGGCCATCCACCCTGTGGGGTGATTTCTCACTTTCCCTCTCACTGTCTTTCTCTGGCAAGTGCATGTGATCTATGACAAAAATCTTAAAAAAGAAAACACATTATTCCTCTGTCTTATGAAGTTGTTCGGGTGATATTTTAGGGGAAGGACCTAGCTAAAGTTTTCAGGACTTTTTTTTTTTTAACTTTTGCTATAGGGTCCATATACTCATCAAAGGGAGACAGAGGGAAAATGAGAAACCACTCCCCAAGGGGGATGGCCACTCCGCAATCCCTTCTCCTCCACTCTCATCTCAGGATTTTGAGCACACAAATACAAGTACCCAGTATGATTCTCAAGCTACTGGGTCCAGGACTCGAACCACAAAGCTAGCTATGAGGGATTCAGCATCTTAACCTCCATGTCACCTGCTGGCCTGACCTCTGTATATTTATGAGGCCTTCTTCAAAGCATACTGACAATGTAGACTGACGATCTAGTTACAATGCTGAAGATTTATGGTAGGCTATGGCTTCTAACCCCCTTCCCCCATAATAAGACGTCAGCTAACATAATAGTATTCACACTTACTGAGGTCCAGTGTCTTCTACTGGATGTCATTGCTCTCCTCCAGTTTTAACTGAAAAAAAAAAAATTGCACACACCCCCGTCAATGTAGTCAGGAAATATAATGAACTAGAATGACTAAATCCGTATTTATATCTGAGATGTAGATTAAAGCTGCAAGCTATGCCAGAACACTTAGAGGTTAATTTCTGCCTAATTTGTCAACCCATTTTCCCAGCGATCATCCCACCACGTCTTCCTTCCACCTGCCATCCCAATATCAAATGGGAAAAAGAAGAACCATGGGGGTATTCCATTCCATAAAAAAGTATCTCATCTTTGGCACCTACTGAGCACGTGAGCACTATTGATGGCAAGCAGCACCCTCGTCTTCATGAGCAGCCAGGAGCCCAGTTAGGTAAGGCTAGCACCTAGGCCTCGCCTGCCTCCCTCCCTCAGAGTGCAGTTAATTGGAAAACTGAAGGTTAAAAGGGAAGCGACCCCGATTTTTGCCTTACTCTTGCAAGGTCCTATAACATATGGGTCAAATGACCACTTGACAGAAAAACTGTCTTCCAGATACTGAGCGGAAAGCCCTTGCCAACCGCGCCGGGCGTGAGAAGGGCGACTGCCTCCGAGGCTTTGTTGTTGGTGCGGAAGTCCTCCTAGAAGAAAAGATCCGGAGTCCCCTTCATTCCGAAGGCTGAGACTTTATTAGTATGGGAGTCACATTCCTGC